CCTTCCTCCGTCTCTGTCTCTTTCCCTCGCCGCATCCAACCGACTGTCCGTCCCGTGCGTCTCTCGACGCGACAGGGGACACGCTCGACTCTCTCGAACCAGTGGCCTGTGGAGCAGCGCGACCATCGGGGGTTGGATAGAGAGGTCCAGCGAAGAACCGAGGAAGAGAGAGAAAGAGAGAGAAAGAGGGAACGACGGTTGCATAGAGTAGGAGGATCCGGTAGGTAAAGCCGTTATTGCCAAAAAGGATAATACGAGGGAAGATTAAATTTTTTTTCGACCCGTCCTTTCGAGCTCAACCGACCGCGTGATCGCGCTTTGCTGCTTCTCGCGTTGTACATTGTGTACATTTTTGCGAAACGCGGCACACGTTCGTTTCATCCCTTTGCTGGCCCGTTCCCTCTCCTTCGTCTCCGTTCCGCCGTGCCGTCGTATCGTCGCGTCGTCGCGGCCACCCGTAAAGGAGCTCCCGAGACGCGTCTTTTATCGGTCCGGATACGATGGCCGCGGGAGTATCGCCGAACGATCGAACGGTTAAAAGACAATTTATATTTAAATCCCGTTTCATCAAAGCTCTTAATCCGAAGGAAATCCAGCCCCCGAAGTAGAAGAGATCCTTCGCGGCGGTTAAATCTTTAATAATCCATTCTTGAGTGGCGCTCGTACAGCGGCGTGTAGCGCCGTGTAAAGCCGTATCGGTCGGCCGACCAGTATTTTTCGTAACGCTGTACGCTCGGAAGTTGGCGGGTGCGCGCGTTAGGGCGCGGGGGTCGCCGCCAGTTTGGCACGGTGGGCAAATTTGCCGGCAGGAAACCGAGACGAACTTTCGACGGGTTTTCGCGGTACACGGGTTGCCGCTGGCCGAAATATCAGAATCTACGTACCTCGTATTACGTTCGCCCGCATCAATTAGGCATTTTAATCGGAAAGGCTTCGCGCGCCACTATCGCGGAATAGTTGCGATATACTAGCGTATTACGATACGAGCAGGCATGCCCGGAGAATTGGAACGTGGTTGCGTTAACATAATGGAATTCCGCGGAATGTTATACCCATTATACATAGCCGATTGCGTCATCGGTCCGATATATAGCCACGATAGAAAAATAATGCTCGGCCTCCGACGACCGACTCGCTTCAATTTTCTAGATTGCTCGAGAAACAAAGATACCTCCGCCGCGTATTTGCCGATCTCCGAGCGACCGATCGATCTCGGCCGTTTCGCGACGGAACGGCGGCGGGCAAATTAGATTACGCGATGCGACCAGATTTTCGGTTCGCCTACCGAGGTGGCGAATAGAAGGGAACCGGGAAGGGGCGACGAGCCGAAAAAACGATGCAACCGCGTTCTCTGTTAGTCGTGACGATCGAGAACGCGCCGAGGAGGACCTACGTCGGTTTCGGGGAAGCCAAGGCTCGTCGATCCCGGATCGAATCGGAGGAATCCGACGAGCCGCGTCGAAGGGCAGACGCGATCGGATTGCGAAACGAAGCGCGCGCGGTAGCCGTTCGTTTAATAACTTGCGCCGGTGGCGGACGATAAATAATGCAGGAGACACCGTCGTCCCGATGTAATTAACGAGAACAGCCGATACCCGGTGTGTGTCACGTATGCGCGAACGAGCGCGTAGTCAATATTTGTCATTCGTTTTAACAAAAAGAACGTTACAAAACGGTCGGATGCTCCGCGTCCAAATATTGACTATGCTCATTGACGTTCATTGATACTCTCAATTAGCGCACACCGTCGAAGCCGATCGCCGGGTAATTGGACCTCTCCGGCAAAGGCAGGGCGGTCAGTTCGTCCGGTCTTTCCGTTGGACGTCGCGTCGTTTCGGGTAAAAACATTTCGCTTCTCGCGGTAATTGGGAGCGCGCCGGACGCCGCGACTCTACCCTACGATTTCTCGCGTGCTCTTGCGACCGCGCGAGTTTACCTCGAAAACCGAGCCTCCAATTATGACCGCGTCGCCTTCTCTCCCGCCTTTGGGGACCGCCGACCGCCAACCGCCGCCACCCTCGCCGTTACCCTTCCGACCCGAGCCGCGTCGCGACACCCCCTCGCTCCTTTGGTCATTTTCCGCAATTTTCCGAGCCGCCGAGGCGCCTCTGCAGCAAGCCGGCTCTACGCGCCGCGATACACCTTCTCGAGAGACGGACAGCACGACGGATCTCGTTTGCCCCGCGAATCCAATTACGCGCCCGCGTCGGTGTTCCCGCGCGATTCGCCGTTTCGCTCGGTTTTTTCCTCCCGAGTCCCCCCTTTGATCGCGAGCCGTCGATCAAAGGAATAGTTGGCGCGCGGTTTTTGTGTCGTCGACATGTTGTGTACGGCCGATTGGTTTCGAACGCGTCGATCGCGTACCCGAAAGGAAAGGACTCGTTCGGAGGACCGAATCGATTCGTAACGAAAACGAAGAAACGAGAATGTGTACTCACCCTTTCCTCCTCGCGTATCATCTCGGCGATGCCGGGCTTGATCTCCAGATCGTCTCCGGGTGTCGGCTGTCCGGGGCCGCCTTGCTGGTGATGCTGCTGCTGTTGCTGTTGCTGCTGTTGCTGCTGCTGAACGGAGAGCTGTTGTCCGTGTGCGGTCAGGTGGTTGACGGAGGCGTGGGTACCGGAAGTCACGTGGCCGGGCACATGGTGAGCGGCCACGGAGTGCGAACCCTGCTGTCCCTGAGGGGGCGGTGGCGGGGGCGGCGGCAACGGCAGCGATACCGGAAGTTCCTGAAGGTTGATCTGCGGGGTAACGGAGACGTTGGGAGTGCCGGGTGATCCGAGAGATCTCGGAGTGGAGCTGCTGGTCAGCATGCCGTGAATGTCAGGCACGATCACGCCAGCGCCAGAGTTGGGGTCCTGATCGTCCGGCAGGCTACCGGAAGCTACCCGATCGGGGCTGCTGCCCGGTGGCGATCGCTCCCCCGATATTCGGCACCGCTTCTTCCTGTGCATCGCGGCCGCGTTCGCCGCCTCCTCCAGGCTCGGCCTGGAGGTCAGCTCCTGTTCGCTGTTGACGTCCGCCAGGCCGCGGATCTTGAGGCTCTCCGCGACCTTTAGCAGTGGGCCGATCTGCTCTTGCGACACGTTGATCTCGCCCTTGTACATGAACTCGACGGCGGCCTTCAACTCCGGCCACTTGATGTCCTTCATGATCACGATCGGGTGCTGGCAGGGATTGTCGAAGAACAGGGCCTGGAAGTACGGGCTGCACGCGGACAGCACCATCTTGTGCGCTTTCACGCTGTGCCCGTCGCAGGCCAGAGTGACGTCGACGAAGCTTTCGCTCTGCAGGAGCTGATCGAACACGTTCGTCAGGTTCGTCTGATAGTTGTTCCACCTCAGGCAAAATTGCTGGGGCGACCCAGCTCCGCTCTGTTGCGTCATGTTTTCGTCGGATTTCGCGTCTCTGTCGGATGCTCCCCCGCTTCCTATTCCTCGTTTCGTTCCTCTTCCTGTTCCTGTTCCGCTTTCTTTCCTCTCCTCGTCCTCTTCTTCCTCTTCCTCCTCCGCGGCGTCGTCCTCCTCTTCCTCCTCCTCCTCCTCCTCTTCCTCCTCCT